GTCTGATGAAACCCTAACCAAGACAACATATGCATATATATATATATATATCCAGGGACAAAAGGGTAATTTCAGCTCGGGGACCATGCGGGGCGAGGCTGGGGCCGGGCCGGGGCCGATTCTGAAACACATATCCCCGTCCCCGGCCCGTAGGGGATATTTTTCGGTGAATAACCGCTGAATTCGGGGTCGGGTCACCGTCGGTCCGGTTTCAAATTGCCATCCCTAGATTAGTGGTGCAGGAAGACTATTCATATTAGGTGGAGATTTATATCCTTATCACTTTATAATAGTTTATCATTGATTTTGCAACACGAAAAGAAAGTATTTCATGTCATCGGGACATCTAGGATCATCTCCTTGAGCATTTCATGCTTGACATTACGAAAATTACTGTTTATATCGTCATCTCAGTTGTGTGTCATTTTACGTATTTTCTTGTAAACGAAGATTACTCTCTCATGCTTGTAAATAATTTTACTTGGACCATTTCATTTAAATTGGAGATTAAAATAAATAATTTTGAGATATTTATCAATTTTTAAAGGTTTTAATTTGGCCTTTCTGTCTAAATTAGATGTTAAAATTGATAATTTTGGGACTCTTGTTAATTTTTCAAGGTACACACGTAGATAAAATTATCAAAAATTCAAATGAAAGGAACAGACTGAAACTAAACTTAAACTGTGGAGATCAAACAGTTCAGATTGAAGTTAGTGATGCCCTCAATTATTGGTGAAACTCATACAGCATTCATAGGAGGAAAGAATATCCTAGATGGGGTATTTATTGCTAATGAAGTAGTTGATGGATTGGAAAAAGGCCAAGCTGCAAGGGTTGACTATCAAGTTGAACTTTGAGAAAGCCTTTGATTCAGTAAATTGGGAATTCATGTTCTCTATGATGTCTAGCTTTGGTTTTGGGTCTAAATGGGTCTCTTGGATGAAAGCTTGTGTGTCTTCAGCCTGAATCTCCATCCTCGTGAATGGATCACCAACTAATGAGTTCTCTTCGAAAAGAGGCCTTAGGCAAGGTGACCCATTATCACCATTACTATTCAATATAGTGGGTGAAGGGCTCAATATTCTCCTTACCAGAGCACTTAATCTTGGCATTCTCAAAGGAGTTTTGGTTGGGGCTAATGAGGTACTTATATCTCATCTTCAATTTGCTGACGACACTATTCTCTTATGTGAATCAGATATGGCTCAGGTGGTAATTATCAAAAGTATTCTTAGATGCTTTGAAGTTTTATCCGAGCTCAGAATCAATTACCACAAAAGTGTTGTATGCAGCGTTGGTGTGGATGATGAGTCACTGCATACTTTTGCAAACCTCTTGAATATCAAGGTGCTTAGCTTGCCGTTAAAATTTTTGAAGCTACCTTTAGATGCCAACCCATGTACAAAATCAACTTGGAAACCTGTGCTTGATAACATTAGATCAAGATTATTAGGTTGATGGGGAAAATGCTGTCCTTAGCAGGAAGATTAACTTTGATCAAGTCTGTCCTATCAAGTCTACCTGTGTACTATATTTCTCTCTTTAAGATGCCTGAAGGTGTGGCTCATGAATTTCAGAAAATTAAGGCTGCTTTCTTGTGGAATGGTAATGACCTAAAAAGAAAAGTTCATTTGGTGAAATGGTTAGAGGTGACAAAGAGTGTTGCCTAAGGGGGTCTAGGCATTAGGAGGATTAGGGATGTTAATGCATGCTTGCTTCTCAAATGGTGGTGAAAATTTGGAAATCAAATTAATGCACTATGGAGGAGAGTTATCTGCAGTAAATACAAGATTGAGGTAGAATGCTGGCATCCTCTTGTGAAATCTTCTTACAAGCATTCTAGGATGGCCTCGAGGCGCCAGGTTTCCAAGTTCACCTTTTTTGATTTCTAGGATGGCCTCGAGGCGCCAGTCTGCTGCGCATATTCACCTTGATCAAAGCATTCTAGGATGCCAGCCTCTTTTTAGAGCCCATATTCACCTTTTTAGGAGGCGCAACACCGGGTCTTCTGTTGTCTTTTTTCCAAAATCGCTTCTTTTGGCTTGGTTCCCCAGAACGCGAGGCTTTAATCCCCTTTTCTGCAATGTACGCCCGGTCTACTACTTTTGCATAGGTTGGCAGTTTCAAGACCTCGAGCCTGTCTTTAATTTCAGCATCCAATTCTGCTTCAAATTTTCTAGCTTTTCGAGTTTCGGTGGGAATGATGTATGTTGCAAATCGAGCGAGTTGTGTGAACTTGCTCTCATATTCGGCCACCATCGTGGTTCCTTGCTTTAGATGTATGAATTTGGATGCCTTCTGTTCCCGCAATGAATCTGGGAAGTATTTTTCATAGGATACTTCCAAGAATCTTGCCCAAGTCGTAATTTCTTCTTTGGCCAGAGTGAGAAGCCACCATTCCTATGCATTGTCTTTGAAAGTGAAGTGGCAAAAGTTACCTTTTGTCTTTTGGTGCAGGGTAGGGCGCGAAAAAACTTTTCCACGTCTTTCACCCAAGTGCCTGCTACCATTGGGTCTGGGCCGACGATAAATGTGGTGGGTTTCAGATCTTGGAATTGTTTTATAGTAACCGGCTCTTCTCACCGTTCTGGCATCCCATTATTGATGTTAGTTTGCAAGGCTTGCAAAAAGCTAGTAACCGCTCTTTTCATTATTCTTTCCATCGATTCAGTGCCACTGGCTGATGACTCACTTCCATTATCATTATTAGCCATTCTACAAAGTAATAAACAAGGCATTACATTCACAATGCCACATATACATAGGCATGTGTAGCGCAATCTATATTTATATAAAATGCCAACTTTACATTTTTTTACAATTCATATTACATCAGTCAGAATATGTTAGTGTCCTATCCTTGTGGTAAACAAAACAAAAAGACAACAAAAAAAGGGATCAGAACACATCATGGTCAGCATAAAAAAATGTTTTCTTCTACCAAATCTAGAGTGATGGGTCAAATGGGCCAAAAAACCATGGGAAATAGTGTTGCATAAAAAGCTCAAATTTCCACCCCAACTGGACTACACCAAAACACATCCACGCTGTCTAGACTGTGAAAATGGGGACGGACTATATGTATCCCAAGAATGCTCGGTCAACAATCCAGCCGGGTGTTGTAGACACCCCATTTTTGACCGTCCTCAAGGCTTGGACGTCACCGTTTGAACACTCGGCGATCATCCATGTTCGTGTTCGTCCTGAGTTCGCGGAGGTCTCAGCCACGCGCCTTGTCTCAAGACCTCTCGACTTGCCTGTTTTGTGTTTGGTTTTGCACCAAACACTTGTGTTTTGCTTTCGAGGGGCAGGAAATGGCTTGCTGGCCATCCCCACACCTCACCGGCCATGTCTTGATGCCACCGGCCATTGTTTTGTTGCCATCGGCCAATTGTTTAGCCAGTCGGCACTATTTCTGGTCAGCCGACCATTATTTTGGTCAAATTGTCACTTTTGGCTGGCCGACCACTGTTCATCTGCTTTTGGCAGATATTTTGTGCCAGCTGTGATAGCTAGCACCCACTTTGCACCCCCTTCATACACGTGTGTGGGGGGATTTCACTCTTACTTAGCTTGTTTTGTAAGCTTTGCAAGAGTGAATCTCTATAAAAGAAGGCCTTCTTCTCCCTCCTCAAGGGTTTCAAAAAAATTCCAGAGAGCTCTGAGATTAGGGTTAGGTCTTGTGTATCTATCTATCTCTATATCTCCCTCTATTTCACTCTTGTGTGTGTATAAGGTGTATTTGTTCTTAGTTTTGCACTAGGACACCTAGTATCACACCTTACCTTGGTTGCTGAGGTGCCAAAGGGTTGTTGCTAAGGTTTTTGAGTGGATTTAAGCTTGGAATGGCTGCTAGAGGTCCATTCTTGAACAGGTCTACACGGGTGAGATTTTTCTCCCTTTATTTTCCATTTTTGCATAGGCTTTGAGCCATCCTTGCATCTGTTTTTAAGCTTAACTTATAACATATAAAAGTTCTGATTTTAAGTGCTTAAAATAGTTGTTTAAGGTTGTTTTGGTGTTTGGGATTGTTTGACCCCTATTAGGCCTTGTTTGGCCTCATTTTTGTGCATTTTTGGTGAGCTCCGGGACCACCTTGTCTTGGCCTCCTCACCACTGAAATCCAGAGGGATTTCAGTGGTGGGGATGGTGCTTTAAGGTCCTAAGAATGAGAAGGCCATCCCCTCTCCTTGTTGCCTTCAGTATTGGTCATTTTAGCCTCATGTGTGAGCATCTTGTTTAAGTTCATGTTGGCCATATCTTAAGTAGTATTTGTGCTTATTTTTTCATGATATAGCACTATTTTTAATTGGTTTAGACACACCATGCATACTTAGCATACTTGTCTTGTAATGCCATGAAATTGCCTTAACATGCCTTGTGTTTTGAGCCTTGTTTTTAGCATGATTTTGGCTTAGCTTTGTAAGCTTTTATGCATGTTTTGATGTGCTTGAGGTCTGATTTTGGTCGTTTGGTCATCCATGACTTGCTTTGTATAGCTACCATGCATCTCCCTTATAGGCCTTGAGTATTGGATCCTCTAGCATGCATTACTCGCATCATTCAGTGGTTTGGCATCACTTACCATGTCATTTCAGTCCATATGGTATGTTGCATGCTTGCATTTGATGCTCCTTTAATGCTTTAAAAGATTGATGTCTTATGCTCCATGTTTGGACCCTTTTTGAATGCCTCTAGGATTAGGTCGTTTAGATGCCATCTAAGTGGTTTTTGCGGCTTACTTCGGCATGATTTAAGGACTTTTTGGTTTACTTTGGTCATTTGCTTCATGTGTCACATGACCACAGTTTAAGTCCTTGACTTTGTTGCATGCCTTGATGCTTTGTTTAGTTTGGTTTCGCACCATCCTTAACATGATTTTCAAAGCTTATAATGTAGCCATTTGTCCATGTTTTGTCCCTTTTAAGTGTGCTTAAAAGTTGCTCTTTGATGCCCAAGTGTTGGACCATGTTTGCATGCTTGTTCCCTTAGGTTGTGTGCCTAGTATACATGGCTTGTTCACATGTTTGATATTGTTGCACATGTTTGCATGTTTGCATGTTTGTCCATGCTCATGTTGCATACTTAGCTCGCATGCTTAGGTTGTATTTTGCATCATACCCTTGCCTCTTGAATTCACCATGATAGAGGTTAGGTCCATTATTTGTTTATGTGCATTCATTTGACATTGAAATGGCACCTTGGCCTCTTTGGCCATCATGCATTGAAATACGCGATTGATGGCCTGAGAGTCGAGGACCAAACTCCCTTGAGTTCATAACATGAATAGGGAGGGTGGTGGTGCACACATTTGCTTGGAATGCATTGCCATGCCATGTTTTGCCCTCTGCTATTGTCAAAACAGGTTTCTGCAGGAAGCTTTGGTCGGTCGACTGAATAGAGTGCCGACCGACCAAAGATGGATGGCCGAGAGCGCAACAAATGGTCGATGACCATCCTACCATGGCCGGTGAGTTTTCTACTTGGTCGGTGATGATCCACAGTGTCCATGGAGCATTCCTTGGGAATTGTGCCATTTTCAGAGGAGCAGAGTAGGGAAAATAGAGGCAGCTTGTGCATGGCGACGGATTTCCGAGCAAACCCGAGCACGCATGCATTGGACCCTCTTCCCGAGGCTGTTTTATTGCTTTCTTAGCTTAGTTAATTTGCTTAACTAGTTAAGTGGTCTGTAATATTTAATTAGCTAGAATAGTTGATTATTTATTCGGGTTTGTATTATTTATTCGGTCTCTCCGAGAGAGAGCATAATTGTGTAATAAGTGTGGGTGTGTGTGTGCATGTCTTCCAACCCCCACTTCTTTCTCCCTTTTACTTACCTGCTTTTGATGGTTAGTACTAGGGCACGTTTCATTTTAGCATACCTTATGCTATGCATGCGTGCATCATTCATTTATATTGCATGCACCAAGCTCGGCGCATCATACTAACTGCATAAATATTTCAAACCCAAACTTGAATACATGCTATTCGTTGCATTTCACATGCCATCCCTAGATTAGCCGAGCCTATTCTAGTTGCATTTTGTATGCGATGCATTAGTCATTTAACATGGACTTGGATCATATATTTGATTGCTAACAAGTTCCTTGTTTTGGCTTGGAGTACGATGTAAGTATATATGCTTTAGTATCTCACATGAGTGTGAATGATGACATGACAGCATGCTTACCATGTGGCTATGTGCTTATGCCATGATAGCATGCTTACCATGAGGCTACGTGCTTACGTGATATACCTGCCTGAATGCCTGTGGGTGAAGGTTAGGTTATTTGGATTGGAACAATTCATCAATTGTAAGTTTTAAGCCCACTTGAGAATGACAAATCATCTTGTTTTCTAAGCCCACCCGAGGGTGGCAAAATCTGCATTTTAAGCCTACTTGCGAGTAGCAAACCATTTTCAAAACAAACATGAGATGTGTTGTTCCAATTCAGGCGATCCGGTCTATATTTGTATGCAGTGCGCATCACATAGTAAATCTAGGCTAATAACCGGAATAAGAGCACATAACGTTTTCAAAACTACATATCATGGTTAGTAGAGGCCGATCTTTGATCGGGCGAGCAGGGGTGCTCACTGTAGACACCCCATTTTTGACCGACCTTATGACTCAGACGTCACCGATTGAGCGCTTGGTAATACCCAAGTT